TGCGACAGGTACAGGTGGATGTCCTTAATGGTGCCCATGCGGCTGAAGCAGCCCGTGTAGGCCAGCATCCTCTTCAGAGGAGCGTTGGGGGATGGCACGTTACCTGCTCGAACAAAGCAACAGTGACGTACCCCGGCCACGCTCGGACGTAATCATTCATTCACACTAACGTCTGTTCCCATTGGCTCTCACATAATCACTGTTCATCTGTTCACAGACCCAAACAGCTGATCGGTACCAACAGCAGCATGTTGCTGACTGAGGATTAGTTGTAAGAAAGCAGCAAGAAAAGGGCAATCGGTGCAGGTTTGATTGGTCAATCAACTTAGTGAATTTAGAGGACTGTGTGGATTAAATCAAACACAAACCAGGCAACATTAGTCCTGTTACGATCGAGATTGATTGGAGGGTTTTTTCTTTTCATGTGCACAGCTTTGTAATTAAGCATCCTGTAAACTTGGTGTGATGCTTCACTGCCGCCTACAGCTGTCAGGATGACATCCTGTGGAATATGAGGTATAAATGAGTATATCAGATACGCGACTCCATGCCTAACCAAAGGTCTGAACGCCCAGCAACGATAGCGGCTGCTCAGGTAGCGTGAGTCACGATGGAAGCTAAACCTCAGCTCTGTGAAACCTGTAACCAGAAACTCGATCTGTTGACTTGATTAGTGCTCGGGGTGAGTGCCGAGCATCTCCAATCTGATTACAGCTGAGTGACTACGCACGCCTACGCATTTCGCCTCGTCATCTCGCCGCAGTGTTTACAGGTGTCCATTTATACACTATGCAAGAGAGAATGAACCGCCGAGCTGAAAATCAGGCATCACTTACTGTGTGAGTGGGCGGGTCTATAAATAGAGTCAACCGGGAGCGTTTTAGCTCATATGGCTGAGCAGCCATCTACCTACAGCTCACTCACACCTGCTGTGAGTCCAAGAATCTGGAGAAAGAAACTACTGACGAAGCTAAAAATCAATGTCACTGCCATGTGTTCATGTCATCCAATAATTAGACATGAAGGTTGAAGTCCTATCAAACAAAGAAGAATCAGGAAATGAACATCCAG